TTTATTTTCTAATTAATATATATATATATATATATATATATATATATCACATTAAACCATAGGAATAGTTTAAACTATAGGAATACTTTATTTTTTGGCTTTTTGCTTCTTAGAATATGATAAAAAAATGTTTTTATATTTGGAAAAGACAAAAATAAAATTTATATATCATTACGTACCAGTGCGTGAAGAGCATTTTTTTTTCCTTTCACACAATTTTTTTTTTTTAATTTTTCAAACTCATGAAAGGTATTCAAGCATTTTTAAGTTGGAAAAATAATTTTTTATTTAAAAAAATTGTTGACATGTGCTCGTTACATACTAGTGCATGATGAACATTCATGTTTTTATAGTAAATTGTGTGACGTTATCTAGTAGCTAAACCTGTCCTTTCACAATATCTTTAAAAATGTCATTTTATCATCTTATTGCAGTGGTGCGTGGTAGTAGATGATGGACGGTTTGTTGTTAGCGATCATTCTTTTTTTCTCTCTTCTAGAGAAAATACATATTTATCTTTTTTTTTGTTTTCAATTTCAATTCTTATGTTCTTGATTACTTATTTTCATAATTGATCATTTTATAAAAGTTTTTTATGTTTTCAATTTAGTAATTAAATTGCAATTTGTCATATATTTTTTTTCAATTTGGTCCTTATTATTTTGATTTTTAATTTTTTTCTTGACTCTTTTATTAAAGTTTTATTGGTTCTTAATTTCATAATTTAATCAAAGTTTATATTGTTTTATCATCTATTTCCATTTAACCCTAATTCTTTTGATTTTTTTTCCTTTTATTAAAATTTTCATTCTTTTCTTTTCAATTTAACCCCCTAATTTAAATTTTTTAATGCCCTCTAATTTATTATTTATTTTTATTTTCACCCTCATTCATTATATTTTTTTGTATGATTGATTTTTTCAAGGTTTCATCATTTAGTATTTGATTTATTGTAGATTGAGTTTCACAGTTTTTTTATTTGTGATGCTTCTAATCTAATGATATGGTTTTTGAAAAAAATTTGGTTTTTCAGTTATTTTTAAAAAGATTTATATCGATTTATCCTAATTTTATGACCTAAACCATGAGTTTTGAAGGTATTTTTAAATAGAGATTTTTTAAAAAGTTATTTTGTTTGTATTTAATTTTTAAAGAACTATTTTTTATTCTATACATATGAGCTTTATTTTATAAAAATAATATTTCTAATATTTGGCTTTGCATAATAGTTTTTTTCTTTTCTTTTATTCAATTAGTTTTATATATGTTTTCATTTTTATTATCTCTTATTGATCATAGTAAATAAATTTAATAAATACAAATGAGTAAATTTTTTTAGGGATTAAATATTTTGATCTATATTTTTCTTTTAATTTTTCAAATTTCTCTTTTAGTTATTGTTAATAATTTTTTTTTGTTTATTTACATAGATTAATACATTAATTTTACTTGATTAAATACTTGTATAAATTGAATTGTACTGTAAATTATTTTTTCAAAAAATAAATTATTTTTTCAAAAAACATGTATCAAAATGGCTTGTATATCCAAGTCTTTTTATATAAAAAAATTACGACCCACGGAACAATACAGGTCATTATAAGTTAGGGTTTAGGGTAATTTTTTAGTAGGCCAAAATGCCTCTCATATATTTTATATTGTCAATCGGGATTGTGATTTTTTCTAGGTGTTTTGATAAATTTAAAAACATGAAATAACTAAAATTAAAGGAAAAAAACAGAAGAATTTTATATTAAAGGGTGGCTTTGAAGATAAATAAACTAAAAACTCACAAAATCACCACCATCCACTACTTTTTTAAAATTCAATTTCAATTTGGATATATTATCAGGTGAATTATTTATTTATTTATTTGAACACTTGTACTTTTTTTTTTCTTATATTTGAAAGGATTTTTTTAATCAAGTTCTTTTATTATCTTTTCATTAAAAATTATCAAAGTAGTTGTATACACATCGCGCTAAAAAGTGAGTGTTATATCATATACTTTACTTTTGCTTCAATTTTGATTTTATGGAGTCAGGAATGGTCACTGTACACTAAACAGACATATTATTTTATTTTTTATTTTTATATTTTAAAAATATTTTAAAAAAATTTAAACTTTTTTATTTATTTATTTATTTTAAATTAATATATTTTTAGTATTTTAAAATTATTTTGATGTGCTGATGTAAAAAATAATTTTTAAAAAATTAAAAAATCAATATATATTTTAAAATGAATAATTATTTAAAAAATAATCGTAATTATATTTTCAAACAAGTTATCTTATAAAATAGAGAGAATAACCAAATATGTGTCTCTATTTATTGATTTTTTCTTCAACTTATTTTTTTATTATTTCTATTGAATGGTTCTCACTGCTACATTTATTTTTATTTAAGTACTTGTATCCATTTTTGTTTTCCATTGAAAGGGCTGTTATTTTATCTATTTGAGTATTCATTGTTCTTATTTTTTCATTTATTTATTTTTAAAATATAATTAACTATTCTTCAGAAACAAAATAAAAATCTCAAATTGGTCACAACTAATTAATCTCTTAATTAATGAATTTTACTAAAAAGTACGAAAGATGAAAAGGGACAAATGTCCTTCACTCCTAGCAACCACTCCGATTTCGTAATTAACTCGAAGAGAAGGATATTAAATAAATAAATAAATCCAAGGACAATAATTTCAAGAGCGGAGTCCACATGGAACTGCTGCATGTTGCAATAAATTAGCACTCACATCATTACACAACCATATCAAAAACCTTAATAAGCAAAAAAGCAATCAAATCATTCATTGATAAAGCCTAAAGGGAATAGAAAAAGAAAAAAAGCAATCAAATCATTCATTGATAAAGGGAATAGAAAAAGAAAAAAAAAGATCAGAGGCAGTCTTCAGGGCCAACCATCTTCATCTCCTGAGTACAAAGCGTTAAAATACTCCTGAACTCAGCTGAAAACAACGTGTTAAGAGCTTGATTAGAAGAAGGGACATTATAAGGCCATTACTATCTAGCAAGAAGCATGTCTGTTGCAGAAATAGCACCTCTTCAGAAGATATTTGTCTGCAGATCCTGCATTCCAGGATCCACAACTTTGGCTTCCTTTTCTTCTCCAGACTCCAAAAATGGTGCCTCGAGCTCAGGAGGATTCTGGGAATCCATGAATCTGTCAGTGCCTAAACTCTGCTACTCTAGGATAAGAAGTGATACAAGGACAGGCTTGTTATTATCTTACCAAGCAGCGAACCAGTGCCCAGTTGACACCTTTGAAGAATGGATGCCGTTTAATATCATTCGCTCCTTCTCGCGAACCCAACCTGTTTATGGGGTCCCTATGCAGCAAACGGTACATTAACTGCTTCGCGTTGAGGCTAACCTGCTCCATGACAAAGTTAAGATATCTATGTTATTCTCCTTGTCGTAAATTCTTGTGCACAGTGACTAACGCTCCCATGAAGACATGCGCGCATGCTCAACAAATTATCTCACCGGTATACTTCCAGGGAATTTGAGATCCTTGTGAAGAATGTTGGCGAATGTCTTTTGCCTGGTCTTTCCCCTGAAAGGTGTGTATCCATAAAGCATTTCATATAGCAGAATTCCTGCGACCAAAAATAGAATCAAATGAAAGAAGTTAGAGAGGAAGAATATTAAAATCCTGAAAGCTACAGTTTTTCCATATTCAATATCTAATTGATCGAAGCATAATGATGGACATGGCATCAAACATTTAAGACATTTCAAAGATCTGAGTGGTAGATAATTACCTAGAGCCCACCAGTCCACGGCACTGGTATGGCCTGCCCCAGTTATGATTTCCTGCAATGACAGAAGACAATTCAAATTCTGTAAAACAGAAGAGAAGAAAAGCATACGCATGAAAAGAAGTAATTAAACCTACGAACAACTTCAAAAAAAGAAAAAGAAGAACAGGAAAACTGTCCATTGGTAGAACATTAGAAGACCGAAAATGAAAGAATCCCTATTTTCAGAATTCAGTGACTGATCCTCAACCAAACCAAGGTTCCAACCTTTCAAAACTAAAATTTTCTGTTCACATGAAAAAAGTTTTGGCTTTCAGCATGACTGAAATACCAAACTGGAAGCAAGAGAATCTTGAAGAGCTGGAAGTCATTGTGCAACTTATACTTATAGATTGAAAAGGGATCTGACTTCAAGGTTCATGCCGGTGACGTTGGACAAGTTATGAATGCAGTGCTGAAAAAAACAATGACGGTAAAAAAAGAAGAAAAAAGAAATGAATGCTGCACATTGATGCTCGCTCTCTCACTCCAAGGATTGAAAGTCCACATCTACCTCTGTCCAGAAAAACTAAAACACGAATAAGATCAAATACACACACACACACACACACATATATATGAAAGGCGGGTTCAAGTAAGAAAACAAACCGGAGCTATATACTCTTCAGTTCCAACAAAAGAATTTGAAGCTCTCATTGGTTCAGCCAAAAAGACTGGAGCCTGCTGATGTTTACGGTGCCTTTTCTTTTCATTTGTACTTGGAATCAAGAGCTGAAGAGAGCATAAAAAAAATATTATGTTAATGTCAGTAATGAGTTACGTGTCAGAAAAAAAATCAAAACTGAGATCATGCTCTAAGTAGCCAAAAAGAAAATTCGTAAGCAAAACATTCTGAGGCATATAGAAAAGAAAGGATGTCAATTGGGAAAAATGATAAAGTGCAGATGGGATACCTGGGGTTTGCAGGATGTTAAACATGATAGATCAAAATCTGTCAAGGTCACATGGCCATTGCTCTGAAGTAGAACATTCTCAGGCTTTAAGTCCCTGTAAATTATCCCTGCAAGAGGAACAGGAGGATTCAGCAATGAAAGAAACTAAGGGAAGAACTTAATAGCCTCGTTAATCCTTTCATTTATTGGATTACAGTTTTGGAAATTATGTGACTCCAATATTCACTGAGAAGTTCCTAGCAGAAGACACTGCCTTCTCTAGACTCTTTATTCACCCAAGTTAAAATCACTCTTCCGAGTTTACTAGGAGAAAAGCTTCAAGAGCTAGGACAAAAATAGTTTAATATAACTGCTGATCAAGCAAGCCACATAGAAGAAGGGATATCTAGGGAGAAGCAAATCAGAATAATACAAAAAAAATTCTATGCAACTCAAATTAGAAATGACGTCCATACTTCCAAATATATATTAGGGATAACGTAGGAGACATCTCTATTTTCCCCCGAAGGAATCTTGCCATCTGAGAAGAAAAGGTATAAGGGCAACGGAATGTTCTTGTACAAGTCAGGGCCATCATTCATATGGATTCAATCATCGCTTAGTGTCAGTTTTGGAAACTTAAATATTAAATCAACTCAGTTCTTACAATAATTACATATTGATGATTAATTCAAATATCTACCTTGACAATGAAGGTACTCCAATGCAACGACTACCTCTGCAGCGTAAAATCTACAAAATCATAAAGAATTTGTCAGGTATTTCATAGTTATGAGTCCCAAAAGTGACTAGGCCCCTTATGGACAACACACGTATTTTCAAAATGATCTGTCTTCCTTTGGGAATAAAATCTGCATTTTATTGAACTAAATTGAGAGTAATGAGTATCCAAGTTTCTTGCTTCATTTATAGTGAAATTGTTTTTACCATTATGAAACTATTCTTTGTTTTTACCTCACAGCATCTTCCTTCAGCACCTTCATTGGCTGTCTGTCCAAAAGCAGGAAGAGCTCGCCACCAGGGCAGTAATCAGTTATCAGACAGATATGTGTTTTCGTCTGCAACATTATCATTAGAATTTTAATAATCTACATATCACTCAAGTAAATTAATCTTAAATACAGATTCAAATACAATCACAGGACGTACAAGCACCTAAACTTTAATGTTCACCATTGCAAAGATTAGGCATTCTAGAAAAAAACTGTCAGTTCAACCCATGCCCATTGTCTAACCTGAAATGAAGCATACAACGCAGGAAGAAAAGGGTGGTCCAACATGTCCAGAATCTCTCTCTCTGCACAAGCTCTATGCACCTGCATTGAAAGACAGCATGAATGAACATCAGAGAATAACCATGGCATGTAATTTATTCGCTAACAAGCAACTATAACACTAAGGGCATTCAACTTATCCAAAGGTACTCAAAACTTTAAGAGTCATTAAAACAAGTTTGTGGAAACCAAAATGTCATAATCTAATTTTAGTGAAAAAAGTATCAGCTGTAAACATGAATTGCTGAGTGTGAATGAAAGTTAGCTAGTTGACCAGCGAGAAACGAGAAACTATAGATATCAAACGTCAACATTAAAGATAGTTAATAATTACCTTATTGCGGTTGAGCATAGCAGCCTTGTCCATAGCCTTCATGGCAAAAAACTGACCAGTTCCATACAATTCTACCAAATGCACACTGCGTGCCGATTGACAAGTCAGAAAATAATTTTCAAGATTAATTCAGCGTGAGTATAACAAGTGACAGGAAAATGATCTTGGTTAACAAATACACAAATTAAAAATCTACTTGAAAAAGCAAACTATCAGCAACACGTTTGTATGATTTCTTGCTACAAGTGCTGGAGATAAACCAAGGGAATGGAAATCCCTCTACTGTGAATCACACAAGTTCAGTGATCTGAGGATTCAGTACAAAATTGGAAAGACAAACCTGCCAGTGTCACCGGATCCCAAGGGCTTTACTGGCCTAAAATGCTTTAGGCCTAATTGTTCTCCACTTTCTAGAATCTGCAGATAGGTGAGCCGAAAAAAAAAGAGATAAAATTGGCATGTGCACATTGAAGAAAAATTGAAGTCCGACAATTTGCAGAACGATGCAAACGATTTGTATATCACGTCATAAAATCAGCTTTGGATCACTTGACAATGAGATTGTAATCTATTGTCATTGTTACACATATTCAAGGATCCAAAGGAGAATACCTTTTGAATCGCTTTCCATGATGGGCTGTCCTTTCTGTGAGGCTTTGGATAGACCACTTTTGAATGATTTGCCCACAAATCTTCTGGTCTCTGCAGATAGGAGAACTTTTTGCTAGAATCAAATCACAAAAGGACTATTTAAAGATAGGATTACTTTTTTTCCGTTTAGGGAGTTACCATATTGGCATCCGGAAGTTCTCTCACTGCGTCATCAACATTTTCTGCAGTATGTTTCACCTGATAGTGGACACCAGTCCAGCTCGTTAGGAGAAAATGTATAGCTCTAGACAGACGTTAACGATATGGATGAAATAAATGATCGGGACAATATTAAACCACTGCTTCTTCAGGAAATGGGAGGTGAAATTTTAGCATTCTTGAGCTTTGAAGTTTCAGAGAACTAATTTAACATGTATATTAGCAGTGTTGTTTGAAAATCTTAGCTTTACAGGGATTTAAACAGAGAAAAGAAGAGAATTTAGACCAGTTGTTCACTCTCTATTGCTGTTGCCTCTGGGATACTATTGGTACGTGGCTCAACATGCTCACTGCCATCCAATTGTACTCCAATAAAATACTGCACTTCTCCCTGTTCACAAGATGATAAAGCTCATAAAGAACCTTTCACTTTGGATTTCCACGAGGATTCGTTTCATACAGATAATGAATTACGAGATACAACATAACATTTTTTGTTTTGAAGATGCGGGTGATGTACCTTTTGGTCACGCATAGGCTGCAGATGGAACAGGTTCCAGAACTTCTTACCTGGATCAAGTGTGGAAGGCCATGATTAACTTGAAGGGAAAAAAATTAAGAAAATTACAGGTTTTCTTTTTATGGTGTTAACAAGAACAAGGAGAGGTGTTCATTTCAGAATGAGCATTACAGTAAAAAAATAAATAATGAGAGAATCTAAGAAGGAATGTTCTCCAGATTTTTCTTGAAATGCTTTATACTTGATTAAAAAGAACAGATCAATATATGAAAATAAAGGAAGTAGCAAGACGCATAACAGTAGTAAATTCACTTTGCTTTGAAGGCACAGAAATACTACCATAAGAATCTAATGCTACATGCTTTTGAGTTAGCTATCAATTCTGAAATGTCACAGAGAATTCAGACTGCAAAATTTAGCTTACCACTCTTGGTATAGTTAAGCAGCTGCACGGTGACATCTGTCTGGTTATCAATTGCTTCCCTTATTTTCCTCACAGTCGCTGGATCAGTTTCAGGCCCTTGCAAGAATCTACAAAATCCAAGCATGAAATAGATTGCAGTATATTCATTTGCATTTCATTTTATTTATAGACTTTAAGAATGTTTACTGCACAAGTCTTCTTTTAATCCAGGGCACTGATGTGGTGTCAACCTGGCAGTTTTAATATCTCGTATGAGCATAAGGCAAAGGAGGAGGTGGAAGTCTAAGATTGGCATCTAACGTTAGTGAAAAGAAATTCATGTTGGGTTTTCTCTGATTTCGGACCTTCTCGATCATGCTCTTAATGCTGTGAAGGAATGACAGATTTGGGTGAAAAAGGTCTGAGAATTTCGGGAACTCAGATAGGGTTAGTGTTGAGATCCACCAGTCAGAATACTGATTCTGTTGTTATTCTCTCATTATCCCTGCAACATTACTGAATGCTCTACTAACCGAGCAGGAGTCATCAGTTTCTTTCATATGATTGAAACCTCCTCCCCTCTCCTGTAGAGACATGGCTAAAATCTTTGACATTTTCTACATGACTTGAAACAAATTTTCATCCCACTGGAATCAATGTCTAGCTACCCATGTTAACAGCTTACTCATTCATGAAGTCTATTTTTAAGTTCAAAAATAAACTTTGTATCATAGTAACTTATGGTTACAATTAAGAAATTAATCTAATGTTTTCAGATAAATTCAAACTAATCACAGCATTTCCGAACTGCATCAATTCAGGAGCGTACCTGCAATTTCTTCCCAAGATTTCTTCACGACTGTACTCTGTCAGCTCTAAGAAGCTATCAGAGGCAAATATCTGAGAATTTTAAACGGTTAGGAAAATTATACATCTCAGTTTCCTAATACATCATGCAGAATGAATAACATAAAGGCAAAATAGATGTATCTTGTTGAAGTGAGAATCTTACAATGGGATTATCAGGCAGCCTTGGATCAGTAATGACAAAGTTTTTCTCTATACGTTCAAGAGTGGTGGCGAGATCAATACCCTTTCTCATTTCCTTCTTCCTCACTTTGTCATCAAGGCTATCAGGCCTTGCGTCGTCGTCGTCGTCATCACTCTCAAAATCATCATCGAGAGTAATTCCAACATCAAAGCTCTCATCATCGGAATGAGTACTTTTTCTCATGAGACTAAATCAAATTACCAAACAATATATGTCAAAGAGTAGAATAGGAAGATATGCCAAAAAAAAAAAGAACGAATCACATGCTGGTGTCTACTGCTACAATGGCCATCAAAAAGCAGTTATACCCCATGAAAGAAAGGCGGCTAGATTTTCTTGGTTTCTTTTCCGGCAACTCACTGATACGTTGCATTGAGTTTCGAGTACCCCCGTGAGAATTCCGTCTATTTGGAGCCACATTCTCCGAGTTTCGTCTTCCTATAGCTCCTTTTCTTTCCTCTTCTCCACCACCTTCTGATTTTCTCATAAACGGACGATTGGTTGATTCACTGAGTGCACGAGGTCTGTTCACTGCTTGAACAAGTTCTGTTACAGAACTTGTAGCCATTTCTTTTTGACGTGCTGCAAAGCAAGATATTGGTGTAGCTCAAATATAAGACACAAAAATGGAGTTACCTAATCAAATGGAAAGAAAAGGTAAATCATACAATAAGTTATCTGCTTATTTACGTATCAGTTTATACTTTCAAATGCCATTTGTTAAGGAGCCAACAACTTTGTTTCATTTGCGCAACTTAACCATATTTTTCCCGATATTTCATCAAAAACTCAAAATGAACAGGTTTAATATTAGTTATCACGTGGAGAATAGTTAGTCTGCCGAGCTGCTCCAGTAGTTGCAGCAAATTTACTCGTGTTGGACGGTTCACTAACGAGCTAAGGAAATAAAATGGAAGCTATTTTTGCCATCTAGAAAACAGAATTGGTTGCATACAGGGACTAATCTATTTTTTACTCATGTACGTAACAGCAGCAGTATGACTGCTCTAACTGAAGGCCTCCTATCAGTTCGATAGCAGCGAACCTCAAAACCATTTAAGAACATAGGTGTCTTGTTCTTATTCGATGTTGCGGCAGTTTGCATGTCTTTAGTTTTTGAGATTTGAACGTAATGCTGAGATTTTATCATAATCTTATAAATCTTTTCCTTCTACCTCAGTCCTCAGGTATGGTATATAGCTTGATGATTACTTGACTGCAAAGGCAACTCCCCCCTAAAAAAAGAAGAGAGTTGCTTTTGCAGTCAATTAATCATCAAGCTAAACAACAAGAAGCTGAGATTGGCTCCCTCATGATACCGCAACAAAATCTACTTTAGGACGTTAAGTAATGGATGTCAGCTAAAACCCATAATAGGGTTTTAACCTTTCAAAATCCCAAGAAAAGGGAGAAAAAAGGAGAAAGTTTATTGTCATTATCTGAAGAGGCCACGAATGCTATTCCATGTCATGTCCAATGCTGGCCACTGAAGTAAGATAAAAAAATAATTGCGTGACATTTAGTCGAATGAACAGTAATAATAATTGAAGGGAGATAAGAAGCTTAGAGTACCGTCATATCGGATCAAGGATCCAGGCAATCCATTGGGACGCAAGGTCTTATCCTTGGACCCCTCAGTATGCTTGCTAACTTCCACTTGCATTCTGCCAAATAAGCAGATATAAGAACATGTAAACTAGCAAGATGATAGGTATATCTACAATTTTAAATTAATTTTCATATATTCTCCCCTCTAATTTTGATTTTCAGACCTACCCCAGAGTCCATCACTGTCAAGCACTGAGTCTCAGTAGCAGGTGCCCATGTATGGCTAGCTAAAACCCCAGTTGGCACATCAAAAAAATTTTTGAATTTTTGGGTTGGGCATCTTATTCGTATGGCATGGGGGCATTTCTTCTTCTTTTTCTCCTCCTGGACTTATCATGTTGCGTGTGTGGGACACAACCATGCTCCTAAATTCTAGATCTACCATTGCCATGTATTTTATTAAACCCGTCTCAAGTCTAAAGCTAGATAATGTGCTGAAAAAAGATACATTGGATTAAAATAATATTATTTTAATTTTATTAAAAAATAATATTATAAGGAAATATTATTTTTTTAAAAAATAAAATAAAATAAATTTCGATTAAATCAATTCACTACTACTTAGCCTGTAGAGCTGCCATGATATAATTTAATTGAGTGAACTCATATTTTTCCCTGAGCATATAATTAAGATATTTGAAATAAAGTTGAAGTTATTTTTAAAATATTTTTTATTTGAAAATATATTAAAATAATATATACTTTTATTTAAAAATTTTATTTTTAATATCAACAAATTAAAATATCTAAAAACACTAAAAATATATTAATTTAAAATAAAAAATAAAAAAACTCAAATTTTTTAGTTATCTCGAAAAACATATTAAAAAAATGTTAAATCTAAAACCTTATTGATATGGGATGTCACTTCTGATGATTACTAAAAGATAAAGGATAATTTTAAAAAAAAAATAACAGAAGAGAAAGTAATTACCCAATGAATTTGAGGACTTTGCCAGAATCGTCCTTGATGGGTGCAATAGTAAGAAGGTTCCAAAAGGGAGAACCATCTTTCTTGTAATTCAACAATCTCCCACAGTAAGTACCCTCTCCTCGTAAAGCCTCCCTAATTTTCGCTACATCTTCTGGGTCGGTGCCTGCACCCTGTAAGAACCGACTGGTCCAACCCACCATATTCACACACACATGATCACCATTAATACACCACTGATAAAAGCCATTAGTACGTTGAGAAATATGCTTACCAATTCCTGCCAATGACCTCCTTAGAGGTATAACCTGTCATTTTAAAGAAGCCAGCACTTGCATACAAGATTGGATAGTCCGGTTTTGTGGCATCTGATACCACAAATGTTTGTTGAAACGTGGACAGTGCATTTCTTATGTCTTCAGACAGTCTTGGGATATTACTGTTGTTACTAGTCCCTCCGTCATCTGATAACTCGCTAGAATTTCTCACCGAGTTGTTCGAGTCCCTTCTTGATGTACCCGGTTTTGCATTCGGGTCATCCCCACCCGAACTTCTCACGCTAACCCCTTGTGGCTTGCCTGTCTCGTCGTCGGTTTTTAGCACCAGGCCCCACTCAGCCGCTCTTTCTGTTGCCACCCCAATCTCACCCGACTGTTGTTGTTTCGGTTTTTTCTCGTCTTGCTGGGATTGCTGTAGGGGTGGTGGGGTAGGGACCGGGTCCTTGAGGGCCATCCATGAGGTGGTGATGGGTACGGGTTCATTTTTCGCACTTGAATCAACCCAGCTTTTCCAGGTGGGGTTTGGTGAACGAAATGCTGGGTTAGTGAGTCGGTTCGAGTAGGCATTGGAGGGGTTGAATACTTCAAGTGAATCCCGGGAGTATCTTGGCAGTGGTGGCACGTTACCAGAAGATTGCTTGGATGACTTGTCCGTTGCTTCCATTTTATGACGATGACCTGCATGATGTCTTAATTGATGAAACAAACCACCACTTATATACTAATAAAAATATAATTCTCGATGTATTTAATAATTTTTCATATATAGATCCCTCATTTTCATAATGCTGAAAGATAGATATTTTGCATAGCATGTGGAGCTAAATCCACCATAGAACTGCACATAGGGTATGAACTGGATTGACGACGACATGGAGTGCGATATCTCTAGCAATGCAAAAGTAATCTAAAACGAAACATCTAAACATGAGGTGAAGAAGAAGTGTAGAGTCAATTGGGGAGGGTGGGGCTGGCAGGTCATGCATGTTCATCTACTTGTGCCGTTTTAACTCATGTCAGCTAGCTGAAGTCTAGTCACTATAAAGGAGAACCTTCATCCTTTTGGATTGTTGCTTCTTTTTTTTCTCCTCAACAACAACAGCAACAAGACACGGATAAACACAGACACAAACTTACTTTAGATGAATTAATGCAGTCTGGTCGATCAAGAAAATAACAGGAAAACAAAATTGAATTTGGTGTCCGAAAAAACAAGATAATATTCGGTTAATATGATAATTACAGCTGTCTGTCTCCAGCATTAGTCTTCGTTTGCTGGCCCGTGAGAGTGAGTGGTAGCAGAGGTGGCACAATATTCATGACAAAACACAAAAGTTTTTGAGTTCGTGAAAACTGAGTTCAGAAACTTACAGCCACAGAATATTACTATTTACTCTATTTTTATCAGAAAACGAAAAGAAAATTACCATGCAAAATTGTCACAAGGAAAACAACACTACGCCTTGTACTAAACCCGCTGGTAAATCAGCAGTCACTCGTGACGGGCCATATAATATTGTGAAACTTGCTACTTCTGTTTCTATTCAGCTAATCACTCGCACATCTTAAGGGAGGAAAGGGGCTGGCAACGAAAGCAGAAGCAGGACAGATGAGATGAGACGTCTTGCACGTTGGGGGTTGCAGCTTCTACCGACCGGGCTAGCTTTCCTGGGACAATGCTTCTTCTCTGTCTTCGTGTCTCACCGGTGAAAAGCTTAGATCAGCATATAGAGTCAGATTCTTCCAGCTGCTATATGTCAGAAAACAAAAACATAGTTAGCTATATATTTTTTTTTATGAATTTTACCAAATAAATTGGGATATAGTTTAGAGACGTGTCATAGTGGCACTTTTGTATGCGTACTGAGGATAGGAGGGAAAAAGCATGCCCTCAGGGGCATGGATATTAATTAGAGGCGGACATATACCTAACTTTTAGAGGCTTTGGTGTCAGGATATTTGCCGATTAACCAGTTGATATTATTGTCGCAAATATCATGATAGTTATACGCCCGAGTTAAATTTTTCTTTCCACAGCCACTACTTTTTAAAGAACTACTTAGCATTATATTACTTTTTTTTCAAGGGTGAAACTTGTATAACTCCGTACTATTAATTTTATATTATAAAAAAATAAAATAATAGTACTTAAACTCGTACTTGTTGAGTAGAATGGGATTTTAATATTATATAAAAAAACTTTATAATTATAAAATTTATAAAAACCCTCAAAATTGTTTCGTATTAGGACATGGGTAGGTCCACAATGGTTGCACATAAATAAATCTAAAGAAAACACATGGAAAGTGAACCCTCACAATATGTTTTGTACGTTTAAGGGTTTGGTTTTCTCTCATTAGTATTATTAAATTAAGAAAAATAAATGAGTTTAGTGTTTCATTGGACATCAAAATATTGCTTGAACAATGTAAAATATTGTTCATTATCATGTTTATTTGCACTGTTCATGAACAACTTTTTTGTTGTTGTAATTTTTCATTATAATTTTCAAAGATTACATTTGGATTATAAATTTTTATTTGTCACGTTATGGTAGTTGAGAAAAGAAAAGAAAAGAAAGTGTTGAAAAGGGAGGGGAGAGAAAACAAATCTTGGCATGTCACATTCAACTCATACAAAATACTAATCTTGGTAACACTTGATTCACCTTTAATATAGAGTTTAATGTATATGGCTTGAGCCTTAAATTATACTAGAAAATACAGATTAGAATCCAAAAAATATGTTTTGATTTGATTACGAATGTTTAGATTAATTAACATGTGTTTCCAAATGAGCAATAGTCTACTGGGTTTTTTTATATGTTTTTAAATAAAATAGATTAAAATTTAAGTTTCGAAGCTAAATATTTAAATTTAAATTTTTTTAATTATTAATTATATCAAGAAATTATTTTAGCTAATGACACAAGCTTTAAAAAATTATTAACATGTATAAATTATCATTTCAAGTACAAAAGCACTTGGAGCCGACTCTCTTAGCCCCTCATTTTTTTTTGAACCATTAAATTGTTTTATTTTTTGATATTTTAAATAAAACATTTAGTAAAATCCTATTTAAATAAAAGTTTTATAATGATATTTTATAAATCATTTAATAGTAAGAAGTTAGTACTGTCGTAATAATCTTATTAGTACGAGATATTACTAAGTATATATACTACTTGTGTTGTTCCTAGCTACAAGAGTCACTTTTCAGTTTGGTATTGCTTAGCTGCAAAAGTCAGCTTCGGGTTAAGAGTGCTGCAAGACTAACGGGAGAGGAGTTGTTGATACATAAATATTTATTTTTGTATTTTAAAAATATTAAAAATAAATTATATTTTATTTTAAATTAACATTTGTTTAACGTTTTTATATTTTTTAATACATTATTTTTAAAAAATAAAAAAAAAAATTATTTTAAAATACTTTCAAAAAAAAAATATTTTAAAACATAACCACTCTCACCCATCTCCTTAACAATCCCTTCAATCTCATGTAGAATTACTGTACAGCATGAAGCTTGTCCTGAATAGAGAAAACAAGAATCCGTCAAAGCTTTTGTACGTAGTTACATCAAGATCCTTACGAGCAACCTTCTCCTAAACGAAATAAAAATCAATTTCCACATCCTTTTTTCAGACATGAAAAACCAGACTATGACTTGAACAGGTGGTACCTTTTTTGTCACGCCAAACAAGTGCTGTTCGAGGAAGGTTAACCTCTGCTTCTCAAAGGGAAGATTTGGCCCAAGTGAGTTCAGTTGTCGCATCAACTCGAGCCTTATGCCCTAATTTAGTAAAAGACTTTAGCCTCGGTTCTTTGCGTGCTTGATTCCCAAAAGCATAAATATCCCCTGGGAGGATGGCGTACCGACCCTCTATAGGATCTCATATCTTCCATGCTGCAAGGCTAGTCAAAATCTATATATACTTGGAGCATAAGAGGGGAACCAGCTCAGAATTTCAAACCATGATCTAAAGTATGTTTGTCACAGTATAAAACACACATGACTACCATCCAATACTCCTCGGTATGTGGATGCATAGCCTGATACTATTTGTTAATAGTATATACAAGATCAGGCCAAGCCAATGTGAGAAGTCATACAGCACCAACAATTTGACATATAAATTTACCGATTGATTTTTAAATGAACAAATCACGTCAAAAAAAGTTTATATACTTCCTTCTATCAATATTTCTCTTAAGAAATTTGTTATATAACAAATAAAATATCATATATAATTTTATTGGTATTTTTATTTTTTCATCAGTATATTCATTGGTAATTATGACATTGATTAGTACTTAAAAGTGTATTTTTATCATGGTTTTATATCATTATTTTGCACTTGAAGTATCAATAACTCCTTAACTAAAGCATGTTTTATAATAATATATCTAATAATATAAGATACCTTTAATTTATGGTAAATGTTCATTTTAAATGCAAGCCTATCA